TGAGGGTCAGTGTGGTTTTCTTTTTGCCTTTGCATATTGCATATTACGTATTCTTTTATTCGCGCTTACAAGTAACAATCAATCTTCTTAAACAATGATGTTCAGGGGGCAAACCTCACCGGAATGCCCAAATTTGGATTTCAGACCGATTATTCCGCTGTGCATCAACCAAATGACCTTTAACTCTGCAAAAATGCCTTACTACGGCCCCTGAACAGCAGTAAGGATATTTGTTTTAATTTATTTATTTGACAAAGGTCAAAGGTCACCAACAAGTAATGCTAGATTGAATAGAAAGGAAACTTTGCATTCGTTAGTAGGTGTTGACGTCTCGAATATAACGTGTAATTTAAAAAAAAAATACAAATTTAAACTCGTACCATTAAAATGGGAATCACGTAAGATTAAGAGAAGCGTTTATATTACTTCAGTGTGTTAAGTAAGTAAGATTGTTTACCTCTATATTCTTGCCAGTTACTTTTCTAACATCAACATTATGGACACTTTTGCTGTACTGTCCTAAAACTTGTCTATACAGTCCCATTTATCATATTTTGTTACTGTTTATTGTACTACTCGAAAAGATACCCGCGTAAATAAATCAACATCTAAATACAAAGCACGTGTAGAATCAAAGCAAAAGTCGTGTCGCGGTTTTGTCCGAAGCTTAAATATAACTTGTGAAACATTATGAGAGCCACCTACCGCAAGGCAGAGAGCACCAAAAGCTTTAGCCCTTCGGCATATGTTTTCACCAAATTTCACGACACGACTTTTGTCTTTCATTGTACATACAGAATATGTACAGTCGCGGGTGGGGTGCGAAAGGGGAAGAGGAATGGTCAATTTGGGGGATAGCCGTTTGTTTTGGGAGGGGGGGGGGGTGGCAAGCGATGCAAGCTCCTCATCGGAGAGGGAGGGGATTGAAGAAAGCATGGAAATTTATGATAGAAGGAAGGGAAGAAAGGATGTGTTTTTTTTTCTCGCTATATCATCTAAGGCTTACATGCTTGAAAGAGTAATAGATGAGGACCCTTATTTTATAGTTATTTAATATATATATTTTTTTTTTTATGGGGAATAGCACACCCGGGCACAGGTCTTCGACCCACATCGGGGCCTGGGGGGTGAAAAAATAAGAATAAAAATAAATTAAAAATAGAAAAGGAAAAGGTTATATTAATCTACACCACGAAGATGCTGGAAAACCAGGTTTTTATAATGAGACAGATTGTAAGAGTGTGGAAACACAAAGGAAGACATGAGCATTCCGCAGTTGGGCACCGCGGGCAAGACGTGTCAAATCCGCCGAACATAGCCCGTTAAAGTACCTGTAAAAGAGAGGGAGTGAAGCAACATTGCGGCGGAGAGAAAGGGAAGAAAGATTGTCAACTAAAGGAGGAGAGTTAATAAGACGAAATGCCTTTGAGTCCACCCTATCTAACAGTTGGACAGAAGAAGAGCCACCCCAGATATAAGAGCAGTACTCCAAGTTAGGACGAATGAATCCCTGCTCAGTAGGGAAGTAGCTACGGCATCTGTACAGCATTCCCAGTTTTCGGGAGGCAGCTTTAGCAATGTTGAGGATGTGTGGCTTCCATGACATATTCCAGGAAATGGTGAGGCCTAGCATATCTATTTTAGAATTTGGTAGAATGATAGGGTCCTGAAATGTGATTGATGGGAGATCATCTAATTTGGAAAGTACAATTGGTAAATACTGAGTTTTATTACTATTGAATTTAACCAAGTTTCTACCTCCCCATTCGGAGATGCTGGACAGATCCGCATTGATAGATGCGATGATATCAGCTCTAGAAACAGCTCTAGTTTGAGAGTTAGGAGGAAAGGGAAAACATGAAGAAGAGTGAAGCGTAGAATCATCAGCGTAAGAATGGATAGAATTAGTTTCAATGTGATGTAATTCATTGATAAAAAGAAGGAAGAGAGTAGGTGAAAGAAAAGAATCTTGTGGGACTCCACTAATGGTAGAAAAAGAGGGAGAGATCGATCCCTCGACAACAACTGCCATGGATCGATCCTCAAGGAAGCTAGAGATTAGAGAACAAAGTGGAAGAGAGAAACCATAAGAGGGAAGTTTAGAAAGCAAAGACTTGTGCCATTCCCTGTCAAATGCCTTGGAGATGTCGAGGGCAATGACGAAAGTTTCCCCATAATCCCTAAGAGAGGATGACCAAAGATGGGTGCAATAGGAAAAAAGATCACCAGTAGATTTCGCCTGGCGAAAGCCATAGTGGTGATCCGACAAAAGAGAATGGCGTCCAATGTGACGAAGAAATGGGAGTTCAAGATATTTTCGAAAATTTTAGAGAGGGATGAAGTTAGGGCAAAGGGGCGATAGTTAGAGGGATTACAATGGTCACCCTTCTTCGGGATGGGTTGAACTAAGGTATTCTTCCAAGTAGTAGGAAAAGTTTGGGTTTTGAGGCAAAGGCGAAAGAGGCGGGCAAGCACTGGGGCCAGAACTTCAGCACACTCCCTCAGATCACGAGGGGGGTATTCCGTCCGGCCCATGCGCCTTACTCACATCCACCTGGATAACACACCAGCAACCCTACGAGTGGAGATTATAGGAAAGTACATAGGTTCAGTAGGAGGAGCAGGGGTATGAGGGATAGAGTTGGTACCGTCTAAAGTGGAGTTTGGGGAAAATAAGGTGCCAAAGAGATTGGCTTTGTCACGGGGAGAGTTATCAGGTCGGAAGAGAGGAGGAAAAGAAGAAGTGCAGAAGTTATTGCAGATGTTTTTGGTCAAGGATCAGAATGATTTACTAAAGGATGAATTATTCAAGAGAGCGATCTTTCTTTTTGTAAAATTCCGCTTAGCCCTACGATTTCAACGATTCCTGGAAGTAATGAAAGACGAGTGGGTAATAGGAGTAGATAGTTTCATAGCGTGATATGCCCTATCTCTCCCTGCATGCAAGAGAGCATGAACGATCAAACCATGATTGCAAAGCGAAAGTTTTCGTTGAAGATGGGATAAATGCACTCATACCACCCTGTTTAACCCCAGCAATGCTGTCAGCACATACCGAGGCGTCCCGAGTGGAAAAGCAACATTCATCCCAAAGGAAAGTCGGTGAAGAATTATCGCAAGGATTGCCAGTTTGCCCTCCGATAGTGCCATAGTTGACATTCAGAGGGGGGTGGGGGAGGTGGTCCCGCCTAGTTTGATTTAATAGAAATAAGATTTTGATTACAAGACCCTAAGGGGGCAGAAATTGAGCATGAATAGTGTGAGGGGTTAAGAGGTAAAACAAACATCAAGAATGTTAACAAGTTGATCGTGTCCATCAGGACCGCGTGTAGGGTGTTTGAGTAAGGAAAAAGAGAGAGCCTCAGCTCCACCTGGGTCATCCCTTGCAGAGCCAAGCCACTCTCTGTGATGTCAAAGAGTTCCAAATAGACGGTAGTGTTGGGAGAACAGTATAGGAAACAAAGAAAAATAGTCATCGTTGGTAGAGATATTTTGAGCCAGATGACATCGTAAAGGGATGATTCAAGATCCGTGAGTCGAGCTATAGGTGTACGTGTGTTGCAGTAGGCGCATACACCTCCCTCAGACCGGAAAGAGGTATAAAGGTTGTAGTTGGAGACTTGAAAGGGTTTGGGTGATGCTGCTTTGGTCAGTTGAAGTTCGGAAAGTAGTCAGAGGTTGGGGGGAAGAGGTTAATAGATGGTGCTCCACAGAAGGAAAGTTGAATCTCTGGCCGCGAATGTTGGAAAATGAAGTGTGAAAAAAAGCCGATCGTCCAGCAACCACGGTGGCGTCAGTTGAGGCCTTTGTAGTTTGATGATCAGATCGGCGCTGGGGTTCGCAACCTTCCCGACCAGTGGGACCCATTTTTTTTTCAGGCTGTTAGATATTTATAATAGCATTGATGAGAACTATTGAATGAGAGGATGGAAATCACATTTATTCTTAATGTTTACCAACACAGGGCATACAGAATATCAATAGCCCGTCCACTGTCCTCCTCGCCTGCCAACCGTAGTCTCCCCGGCCTAATATTTGTTATCATTCATACAAATTAAAAGTTATTTTAAAATATAAAATGCCAGCAAACCATAAAAAATAGTCAGGGCGGCCAGTTTCTCAAGTTCCCCGGCTGCTCCCAGCAGGTTAATCAAAGTCTCACCTCCCTTGCAATTTCTGACACTTGTAGCCAGCCGCGCGTAAACCCATGACTCACCAATCAACGTGCTGTAGTGTCCATCCCGGGCTATGTGCGGAAACAGTGGTAAAGCACCATTGCTACTACATTGCTACTACCACATTTTATCCAAGGATCCACTCTTTTTTTATCATTTATAGCATTTTTTGATTCAAGAACGGTAGTGGCGAAAGGTGGAAGTGATTAAGTAACAGTTTCATTTAGTGTGTTATTGGTGGTAAGCAAGCCGCGCTCCCTCCTCTCTTATGTTATCATAACAAGGGCTTTCCCTCACGGAAGTCAGACGCCTTTTCAATCCTAATGACACATTACCTGCCAAAAGCTCACTCGTATTTCTTCCCAGAATCTAAAGTAAACGCATGGATAAATAAGAGAAAGTTAAGTCCATATTATGACACCTTTAACTCACTTCCCCCTGACCCCCGGCCTCCTAGTTAGTTGGTTGTTTGGGCTTTAGGAAAAAACAGGGTCTTTAAGGCTGTCAACGTAAAGCTACATTCACCAACCACCTTCTTCAGGTGATATGTATAATTCTAAGACCACTACATATATGTGGCTCTCGACTCGCGCCCTGCTACCTTATCCGGTCCGCCACCCTTAGCTCTCCACCATCAATACCTCCCACACTTTCTTGTGATCTGTCGTGTGGAAAGGCCTTGAGTTCGCTGGTATGGTAGTTGGAGGGGTGGGTGATTACTTTTGACCACTACTGTATTTATAAACTTATCAACCTGTAAACATCACGGACACGAACAAATATAATATACATTACGTGGTAGTAACGCCTGTTCTTCTCCCTCAGGTGCCACGGCACTGATCCTGGTGGGGATCTGCACAGTCTTCCTTGTGTTTATCTGCCTCCTCTTCTTCGTGCAAAAGATTCGTCGCCAAAGGATAGAGAGAAAAGTTGTGCAAGATTCTGACGTTGTTAAGTAAGTGTTATACAATCAGTTTAACTCAGCTGCAGTCCAGATTGAAATACCGTTGGGAATTATAGTTGAATTTAGTGTAAATATTTTTCACCGTTTGTTACTAATAAATGACATATCACTAATAAGTATGTATTTTTTATTATTATCTTATTGTAAGAACAATTTTATTTATCTTGGTAAAAATATCTTTACTACTCTTCGTTGTTGTCTCTTAATATATTGTAGTAAATCTCCTTGTCTTACTTGTTGAAAAAAAAATATGTATATGCGAATTTTTCATCACAGCAAAATAGAAACCATAAGGGAATAATACTCTTTTAAGATTGTGTCAAACTCAATACAGATAATATGAATCATTGTAGTATCTGACTTTTATGTTTTTTGGTCCAACTAACCCGACTATCGTAATTATTTTTGTCATCTGTTCTGTTCCTGAAAGTTGTTGTGTCTTCCAGACCTCAGACAACGTACGAGGCCACCAGCTCAATGCACCATCCAAACCCTCTCTCCCTTCTGCCACCGGGCTTCCTACAAGCTCTCACAAGTCTCACCCTCTCAGCTGCTGGCAGAACTGATGACCATATGTCACCGTCCTTCCTGACGTAAGTTCAGGTTCTGTTGACATTGTCGTAGCTTGGGACAAAAACACTGAAACTCATATTCTGTATCTGACTTAGAAACATCTCTCTCATTACAGACTTCATAATACCACATCTAGATTATAATACATGTGTTTCAGGCGTGTGTTGACTTATGTTGTAGTATAATGTGTTTTTGTTTTCTCCACAGTATGGAGCCACTCCAGTCTAGTAATAGTCTTGGTCGTCTGTGGTTCTCGGTGTATTACGACTATGTGGAAACTGCACTGGTACTACGAATTCTTCATGCCAGGTGAGACGGACAGACAAACAGACAGAGATACGTCTGCAGATCACTTGTGTTTATAAAGAATACTTAAAAGGTTTGAATTACTATCCATCTTTTTTCTTTTCTTTAGTTTACCACCTCTATTACTAAAGACGCAGTAGAATCAACCTCAAGCTGCAAAAATATTTTCCTCAGATAATACTGATACCAAGCACGAACCCTCAAGAAGTATGGGTGGAGGCACTCAACTATGAACATGAAATTTAAAGAGTCAAAGCACCTGTCTTCAATCAGACCTTCAGGTTCCTGGTAAGCAAACACTCCTAATGGTGATGGAAGGATTAACATTGAGATGTGAGAGGAATGGTTCTGTCCTCACTTTCTCTTGTTCATTTTAGAAAGATTGTGGTGCCTACATACTTGTTGGTATCTTATTTTGGCATGTAGAATATTTAAGATAATTCTATATTTGGATTTTATAAAGGTTCACTACACTCAGTATTGCTTTTTTCTCAAAACTTCAGGTTGAGGACGAAGAGGTGACGCAGTTTCTAATGCGGCTTACCATGTATGACCGTCACCCGCAGAACGGTGAGAAGGCCGTCGGCTCTGTCATCGTCCCTCTTAGTACGGTTGACCTCTGCTCGAACGCAACGATATCCAGAGACCTACAGTAAATGCTTAGCATTATGTTGGACGAAAAACAAACAAATATAAACTTCTGGCTCAAGATATTAAATTGAGAGCTGCCTTCTGAAAGGACTTTGATCTCCCGAGTAACTAACAATATTGATTTACTTCCATCATTTTGGGAACCCCTCAAAATAATCATATGTTTTCACTTCTATCTCCAGACGACGTCCTAAATTTGTTACAGACACTCATCATTACACAGTCGACAGTGGAGTGGTATTAAAGGCCACTGACATTCACCCTATCCAGATATCGAGGAAACAAGGACGTTTAGATATGACATAATGTAATAAATTATCAGGTCTATCCGAGAAGAAGTGAAGCCTTTTGTAACTAAAGGAAACTCTCAACATACTATTTGTGTGTAGTGATATGAAGCTTTATGAAGGAACTTGTAATAAATATGAAGGGACTTCTTGTAATTTAGATTGTCTTCCAGTTGTCTTTCAGCAACAAATAGGAAAACAACCGTTATCCAGAAAAATGGTCATGGTGCGATTTTTCTTAACTAGACCAGTCGTGGATAGGTACCTGTTTCCTATATTACGTTATAAGCTTAAAAAGAATCGTTCGAATACCTATAGAGGTCTGTGCAATATAGCTTGGGTTCTTTGCCCCTGTATTTTACCCTAATTTGATTTCCAGTGGTTTACTGGCCTTCTTTTGACTCCCATATTATGTAGCCTCTAGTGGCTTTCTTTCGGCGATGTTCCAAAGAAAACTGTGTGTGTGTGTGTGTGTGTGTGTGTGTGTGTGTAAAGAGATGCTCTATGTGTCTCTGGTTTCACCCAACCAGGTAGAATCATACTATGTACAGCACTACCCTTATTGTGTATGAAAATGTCTTTCATGGCAGTATTAGAGTAAGTCAAATTTCACTCCTGAAAGGGTTAATAAATATTTTCTTTGATATCCTGTAGCCACAGGTTTATTGCCAGCTAAATCTTTTGTTTATATATATATATATATATATATATATATATATATATATATATATATATATATATATATATATATATATATATATATATATATATATATAAATGTGTGTGTGTGTGTGTGTGTGTGAGTGTCTGTTAACATGAGCTTCCTGGCGTTACTGCAGTATCTTAAAGTGAATCAGCTCACCAGATTTGGATAAGTGAAGGAAACTAACTCAAATAATGCTCTGACAACCCTTAGTTACAGTATGCACAATGTAGTTTTTAGATTCTCTTCACTTAATGTATCACTTGATATCCATTATAGGTATCTTACCATAGTACTAAGGGAAGATATTGTCAGTGTACATTCCTGACTATTTCATAAAAGAGTTGTTATATATTGTATTCGGTCTTATTTTTCATATGCAGTTTAAAATATATATATATATATATATATATATATATATATATATATATATATATATATATATATATATATATATATATATATATATATATATATATATATATATATATATATATATATATATATATATATATATATATATATATATAGTTAAATAATATTTTAATATTTACTGATACTTTCACATAGTGTGTGTCTTAACGAGCCCACCACGATCCTTTTCAGTTTTCGAGGCAGAGTGTTATGGCCATCACTTATGTTTATCCTCTTGTGAAATATTTATTAATGACATTCTTACCTCTCATATTATTTACAAATCACTGAATGCTGTGTAAAATTTCAAGCCAATAACTGAACTGTAGCTGGAGGTGTTCACTTGGCGATGTCATAGTACATCGATCATAATATGTTCTGTAAACGGTCGCTACATTCCTAGAATCACATTTAGTAATTAGATCATTAATAAATGAATAGCCATTGTATATATATATATATATATATATATATATATATATATATATATATATATATATATATATATATATATATATATATATATATATATATATATATATATATATATATATATATATATACACGTGATGTCTAAAACAATAAATAATATATAGTTTATCTGTGAGTTATGGATACGTCCATTCATAGTACAAGAGAAAAAAAATCAACATTCTTACTACAGCCAGGTCGGGGAACTTAGCGTGGTGTCTTGTATTAGTTCGTGAGTTGGCCTTGATACACGTCCTCTTATTTATTTCTGACTGTAGATACTGTGTGAGTGTTAGAGTGGGAGTAATAAAGCCTGTGCACCATTATCTGTTTATTTCTCCCTAATATTTATTATGCTACTCTCGACACAGCTGAGCTGTGAGCTGACGCAGAAATCGGTGCATGCCATGTTGGCGCTGTTACACCCACAACGTTTTGTCTTATAGACTAACTCACTCTTACATGTGCACTTTATGAGTTGAGTAATTCATCTGGCGCCTGAGGAACATCTGGTGGTAATGTCACAAAGGTTAGTGTTGAGCCTTCTCTCTGCCAGCTTTACATGACAGGATTCACAGATGGCTGGTTGGCATCTGCTGCATGTATCCAGATTGTAAATGTGCCCTTGCTACATTTTCCTTGAATGTTTCTGTGATTGGAGGTAAGGACGACAACTTAAGAGCAGCCCCAATGGAAAGAGATACTTTACTGGACCATATTTTCAGTTTGGCTTCTGTCATTGTTTGACATCTGTGCTGTCTGTAGCATGATAGTACAAATGCTGTGGCATGTGGGAGAACACCAAGTAGGGAATTGTCAATATTCCCAATACATCAAGATTATGTGACAGTTTAATAATATTTATGGCCCACAAGGGAATACAAGGAAAAGGGAGAGAGAAGAATTATTTTCTGATGATTTATTATATTATATCAGAAATAATATTGAAAATATAACAATTGGGGGAGATTTTAACTGTGTTACCAGCATGGGAGATTGTAGCAATCATGGCAACAAAGGTTTGGCGTCCAAAGCTGTAACATCTCTTATAAATGATATATAACTTAAGGATGTTCTCGTGATTGATAATTATTAACCTGAATACGTAGATTATTTACGTATGGATCAAGAATTGATAGGCTTTATGTTAAGGGTTTGAAACAAAATAGTAAAGTGTGATACTGTTCCAGTCAGTTTTTCTGATCATTCAATGGTATTGTCAAAAGTAAACAGTAACGAAAATGTAAAAGTAGGTAAAAGTTCTGGAAACTGTATTGTAATATTTTAACCGCTGATGAGGTACAGGAAAACTTTGAAGTGTCTTAGATAATTGTTAAGGTGAAAATAAACAGTTACCAGAATATTTTACAGTGGTGGGATCAGTATGCTAAACTAGAATGCAAGAACTTTTTTTTAAAATATGCAAAAGAAAAGGATGTCTCAAGAAAAACATGGGATTATTAATTTATTTCAAAGTAGGTTAAGAAAACTTTATGAAAAAAGACAAATACTATGATGTGAATTATGAAGAAATAAGGACAATGAGAACCAGAATAAACGAATTTAGAAATAAAACTTGATAAAATGTTTAAATTAGAGCCAAAATAAAAGAAAGAATAGAGGGAGAAAACCTTTCTCGCCATTTGATATATAAATAAAAAAGTAAAGGAAACAAGGAATTACTTGTTGAGGTTAAGAGAAAAAACGGTGAAGAAATAGAGAATACAGAAGGAATAATTTATGTAATTGAAAAAATCTATAAAAATTCTTAAAAAAGAGTTGAAATTATTGATGAAAATTGTGAACATTTTCGAGAGAAATGCAAACACAAACTAAGAGAATCGGAAAATTAATATTTTATAAACTCAGTAAATGAGAAGACAATATGGGGCGCACTTAATAATCTCAACCTTGGTAGATCTCCAGGTAGTGATGGTAGTACTGTATTAAATTTGTCACAAAATACAGGAATAATAAAGCTAGTGCCTAAAATGGGGAATCTGGGATTGATTGATTGATACGTTTATTGAGATACAAAAAACATTAATACATCTCAAAGGGATGAAGTGGCATAAGTCATCGCCAACCCAGTCCAGGAATGTCCCTCTCAGGACTCACATAAATCCCTAAAATTTCATATAATCAGTTATAGTACATAGTTATATTCTAGATGCAAAATTTCTATATTTCTTTAATATTTCATCTATTTTCCTATTTTTAAACATCCACTCTATTTGCTTGGGGACATTATTTATATGGGCATTTCTATATACATTAAGCAATGTATATAGTGTGGCAGGGTATGGGATCTGGATGTTCTACAAACTCTACATTCTTTATCCTGTTCACTTCTCTCAACTCCAAGTTCCCAATAATATTTATATCCTAACCTTAACCTCATATACACTGAATCTTTCCACCTACTCCTATCTTTCCCATATGTAAATTTTGTGTCCATGAGAACATGATGGTAATGTTTCATTGTTTCACTTTTCTCGTATATTTCATT